AAAAAAAAAAAAAAAAAGAAAAAAGATAAAAGTGAGAGGGGAAAATAGTTTAAAGCTACTTTACAGAAATGCATAGCATCAGCCATATTCCAGCACAGACATTATGATAAAACATGGGGCTTTTCTTTTCTTGAGACAGGATCTCCCTCTGTGGCCCAGGCTGGAGTACAACGGCGCCATCTGGGTTCACTGCAACCTCCACCTCCCGGGTTCAAGCGATTCTCCCACCTCAACCTCCTCAGTAGCTGGGACTAAAGGCACGAGCCACCACAGCCGGCTAATTTTTGTATTTTTAGAACAGACTGCGTTTCACCATACTGGTCAGGTTGGTCTCAAACTCTTGACCTCAGGTGATCTGCCCGCCTCAGCTTCCCAAAGTGCTGGGATTACAGGGGTGAGCCACAGCACTCGGCTGGAGATTTTTTGGTTTTTTCCTTTTGCTTAAAGAGGTGACATCTGCCTACAATAAACCCTGTTTTTTAAGAACCTGTATGTGAATAAACATTCTGAGAGTACCTAAACTTCCCCTCATTTTAATTTCACTGTGGCTTAAAAGTGAAAAGACTGTCTACAATTCACCATGGATATTAGTCATCATAAACATCAAGATGTGAAGTAATTGCTATTAGAATTGTTAAAGAACTATACCGTACTCACCCCCTACTCCCCTAAAAGGCACCACCTTACTTAAACAGAGGTCTTTTTTGAGAGGCTAAGAAGAATAAGTGTACCGGTCTAAAGGTGAGCAGACACTAAGTTCTGGCTTTATCATTTAATACCTGATTAGCCATATGATCACAGAAAAATCTCTCTCAAATTCACTTTATTGAACCAGAAAATGGGAGTAACACTTTACCTGCTTCAATCTGGTTATATAAATTAAAAACTTTCCTCAACGTGGTCTGTGAACTGTGAGGCACATATCATATACATATATGTATATAACATTTATATACATGTATGTTACATATATGTAATGTATGTAAAGTTTAGGCCAGGGGCAGTGGCTCACACCTGTAAGCCCAGCACTTTGGGAGGCCAAAGTGGGAGTCCAGGAATTCAAGACCAGCCTGGGCAACACAGACACCCCATCTCTACAAAAAACACAAAAATAGGCAGGCACAGTAGTTCCAGTTACTCGGGAAGCTGAGGCAGGAGAGTCACTTAAACCCAGGCAGTCAAGCCTGCAGTGAGCTATAATAGCGACACTGC